GATGTTAATGATGCAGTTGTAATGTAGATATTTGTGGCGACGAGAATGAATGTAAATGGTGCGAAGCTGCTTTTGATGACAAAGTAATGTTAATATGATGACGAAAATATGTTTAATATGGTCGGATAGGAATAGTAATTTTGGTGGGAAATGAAGATGGTGACAGTCCAAGTTTTTATGAGTGGATATTTTGGAAAAGTAAACTCAATACAGATACCAACCGTAGCATACAGCACCAGCATCTCTTCTGTGAGGATTCCACGGCGCATAAGCATGAGGGTTTGTATTAAGCGTTAGGTTACATTTCCATAACGCAGTTTCATCTCCATTACAGGCAGTATTTGATAACCACACGGGTCCCGATCCACGGCCRTAATGAGCACCGTTATAAACTCCCGTAGCACCTGCTAAGCCTATTTGTCTACAGACAACATTAGCATCGTAGATGTCCCAACCAAGATCACTAACTGTTCCCCATATGCCACCTATCTGTACTTCCACTCGACCCTCGAAGTCATTGGACGAACCATTCAAACGAACTGTAAAAAAAATAAAAAGAGTAAAATGTAGTATATGTAACTATCATTATTCTATACATACTACTAAGACATACTCACTGGAAAGCCATATCTTACATTTTCGTACGCAAATGAGTCTTAGCCAATCGGAAACCGCGAACGACACTTTTCACGTGTAAGAAAAATCGTTCGTCCAACGAAAAGAGCGAACCATGATTTTTCACTACATGAAATAATTTTCCGGACTCTTTTTTTAGCGTTTCGCTTCGGCCATTGAATGAGACTGATGTTGTTTTGAAAATAAAGTCCAGAACTGACTTGATCAACAGTCCAGAAAAATGGAAGTAAATAGATTCGTAAGCCTCGATATCAAAGCAAAGAATTAACTAGAGCCTACAAAGTACGAAGGAGAAAAATAAAATAGACGTAAAATTACTAAAAAGCATTTAAAGCTCAATGAAAAATAATTCCAAACAAACGAAAAACAAGTCCAAGAACCCACAGGAACTGGATAGATATCTAGAAGATCTTATGTGGTCAGTAAGACGAAAAGATAGAGAGGACTATGAAACTATAGCCTAAGAAGCGTAATAGCGAACTATGAGAGACACCTGTAAAGAAAATTACTAACTATCCAGCGYGTATCATAAAAATCAAAAAGTTTTACTAATATACAGATAAAATTACAAACAGCTTTAAACTACCATTATTGATATTTATTCTTTTATTAAAAAACCTATCAGACATAGAAAGAAAAGAGGTTTATCTCGCGTCGATTTGCGCGCGCTCTCATCTTTAAGAAGCATTTCATGAAACACGCTAAGATAAAATGAGCATTTCTGCAAGGCTATGCAATTTGATTCCTTTATATCTTTAATGGAATACCTATTTGAAATTTTGACAGCACATACCGTTTCTGAGAGTATTATTAGTCTTGCAAATTACACCAATATCTCGACGGTGACGGCAGCTAGTAACCCCCCATCCCTTGTGCGAACACATTGAAATTGAAGGCTCATCTCCACGACAACGGACATCCTCTAACAAAATTCTTCCATTTCCAGCGGGAAAGATCGAGCAGCATTGAACCAGGATTTCTACGTCTAGGAAACCAAGCTGCCTACAAACGACTCTTGCTGATAGAAGAGGAAAATTCGAGCCACACACTGTTCCCCATCGCCCATCGTGAAAGACCTCGATTCGTCCTGCTGAAGTAATATTACCTCCCTTCAAACGGACAGCTGAAACAAAAGACAACATGGGAATATTTAATATTGTYATGTGGAGCGCTTATTTTAAATAAAGGTGGCACCCTGTGACGTCATCTATTGTTTTATAAAATGTAAATCAGATGTTGGCATGACAGTGAAAAGAGTGCAAAAGCTATTGCGTAATTTCGAAGCACAAAGCCGATTGTAACCAAAAATTCACCCACCTCTAGGGATTTTAGAGAATCCGATGCATGCTACTGCTTTGACCACAGGCTCAATAGACTGTTTTCTCAAGGTTGCGTGCGCATCCAGATTWAAGAAACTTAACGGGCCAGGATACAAGAACACGAGTATTATGATGCATTGCTATGAAAAAATTTTTAGATAACAATTCACACAATTGATTATTCTCCTCTTTAAATATAAAACTGGCTTCTCGATTTTACTGAATTTGGGTTTTTCAGTTTTGTGGCCCGTCAAGTTGGATGCGCACGCAACCTTGMGAAAACGGTCTATACACAGGTTAACCACGTTCATAATAATGAATTTCATTTTTTCTATCACGTGATTTAAGTTAACAAATTATAATGAACTAATTGAAAGGTTGAAGATAGATTATTAGGGAGGTAAYGTGATACATCTTACTGTTGCTCGTTATGTTTATTGGTGTCGCTTTTGCGTTTGATGGAGTTAAGTCACAAGTTTGATTAAGAACTGCGATGTCATCAAGGGCGATATTTCCTCTGTARTCTGAACCACTGACTCCTTCAAAAATCACCTAAAAACAAGTTATCTGACATTTTATTTAACCCTCAAATTCTCAATGTCATCGAGCATTGAAACAACCACATGGCTGATCTAAATCGGCACGGTTCACCGATCTCAAAGATCAAATAGACCTCTTTAGTTTGGGTGTCTTGATTTATTTCCATTTCAGACCTCGTGCCATTTTCTTAAGAATAAGATTCTTTRTTTGAGTTGTATTCATGTGTCTCCTCVTGCGCAACCGTTGAACAAAGAAATGATACTTTTGGGAATGATACGTGATCTGAAATGGACATGCCATTACGCCTAAGATAACATGGAGAGCTAAAGAGGTCTGTTTCTATAATTTTCACACGCGATCGCGTGAAACGATTGATTCAATATTTGGGGCAATAATAGAAAAAATAGCATAATAATATATTTTTCTAGCTACCAACCTTAAAAGCCATCAAGCCTTTGATTGGCACCATACCCTTGTTCCAGGTCGATGATTGCTCTCCAATCAGTTGCCACAATATTAGCTTGGATATGCCATTGTCAACATACACGTTGAGTTCTCCGATCCCTGAACCTTTCATATGGTAATAAAACTGTACGCACTTGGCACCAAATATTTCAGGACTGACAAGTCGAGCAATCTCTCCTGGTACTCTTGGCCAGGACGTCCTGATGTAAATATAATAACCTGAAAAAATACAAAAATATATCACATTTCACTTGTTTCATTTGTTTTCACTTATTTCTTTCTGGTGGGCTGGTGGGCTGGTGGGCTGGTGGGCTGGTGGGCTGGTGGGCTGGKAGTTGGCGGATAGAGATAKGTCGAGAAAAACAAAAGTCGGTTATTAGGTACAATAATAYTGTACATACCATTCCCAGAAGTATGATCATGCTGGGGTCCAGTGTTATACGTYGGGGTACTGCCGCTATTAACTGTCCAGTCGAAATCATCATCGTTGTCATTTGTATATCCACAAATGTGTCCATCATCAAATGTGCAGTTACCAGAGTTTGCAGGAAGACAAGTTTTATTAAGAATCTCGATGTCATCTAAAGCAATATCTCCTTGATAACTTGAACCAACTACTCCTTCAAACATAACCTACAAAGAAAAAAAAAAGCTTAGGATGCTAAACTTAAGATTGGTCATTTAGTACAGGCTAGACTTTTYGATCGGCCAAAACCTTTTCATTCCACGCAAACTAATTCAGTACGTTAACCCCCAGCCAAAGTCATCAATCAAATTTTGACATTCATGATTGGCTTAAAAAATAGGATTAAAAGCACAAAGGATTTTTCTTCCAAACCGGATCAAGCTAAACCTAACCTAACAAAAGAGGTGCTTTACTATGGAAAAATAAAAAGCAGGCTAGCTYCAAATGGTGGCAAACCCTGGGCCCATCTAGCTCACAGATCGAACTGAAATTTAAGTGTTGGGTTTCGGCGAGAGAATCAAGAGGTTTTTAACGTACCTTGAAAGTTGATAAGCCGTATATGGGTATCCTAGCCAATATCCAGATAAGACCCTGCTCACGGCTCTTTTGCCAGATCATGGTTTGATTGTTACCGTATTTTAAGTACACGTTCAATTCYCCGATGTTCGAGCCTTTCATGTGGTAAAAGAACTGGAGACACTTCCCGCCTGTGATTTGAGGGCTTATGATTCTTGCCTTATCGCCAAATCTCCGCGGATAGGAGCTTTCGATGTAAATATAATGACCTACACACCAGGAATATTTATAGCATATGAAATGCATGCATATGTGGGAAGGCGGGACCATGAATTCAGGCTTTTATTTAACTATAGATTTTGACAAGATAATGTTTTCTATCAATTCTATATTGTTGCATTGTGACACTTTGGACCTCTCTGTGACTACTGATGGGTTTCCTGTGAACTTGGCGGACATTTTGGCGCCAATCTCTCGACGCCATCCCCGGCCAAACTTTACTCTAGCAATTACATATTTATATATGTATTAGTAAATACTGTTACCTGTTACCCTAAGCGTATGCTTTTATAACGTAAAATACCGCTTAGAATGTGGCCTTTTTTTTGCTACAGCACACGCAGATTTAGTTAGAACTTTGCAACCAGTCTGTCGACATGGAAACCATTTTTTTTTTTTTTTGCTTTGGAGGTCCAAACGAATCAAGACTTACCATATCCTGTAGTATGATCATGTTGCGGCCCGGTGTTGGTTGAAAGAGTACTACCACTAATCAATGTCCAGTCGAAGTCATCACCATTAACATTTTGATATCCACAGAGACTTGGTCCTGACTCAAACGAACAGCTGCCGCTTCCTGTATGATCTGACAACAAGATAATGTATAATCAAACTAAAGATAGGTCACTAAAGCAAGCAGACAAAGACAGCAGCGGGGATTTCCCGCCCTTTTCAATGACTGTATAGCCAAGATTCCAAGAATATGCATGAGCAATGATGGTGCAACCTATCGGCGATAGGAATAAACTTTCAAAAGTTCATTCGTTTTTATGAGGTAATTAACCAATCAAGTTTCTACTTTCAGGTCAAATGTTACACTTGGACTTTGAAACACAGTAAAGAACTCGCTACAGTACCTTGAAATGATTTCTAAGTCCAAGGACCTGGAAATATGTCTTTGGACTTAGAAATCATTTAAGGTACTGTACTTCATTCAATGCCCCAGTCTATCGTTTTCTCTCGGCATTATATTATTGATTGCTGAAAGCAAAATCATACGACACGCTACAGCTATTATAGCAGTACAATTATGATATTGCTTTGAGAATTAGTCGGCTTTTAGGCTTTAACTGTAGGATGRCTTTAGTTTCTAGACTCTTTCGATGGTCTAGTTAAGTTACCTACCATGTCTGGTGTAATTTTGACAAGCAACTCCAGCATCTTCACTGTGGCTGCAGTCATGCACTCCCCATCCTGGATGTGAACATGAAGACAACGATCTCTCTAAACCAGTACACCTTACATTATCCATCCAAATATTACCAGAACCTGCTCCAAAGAAACCACTTGAGTAAACAGCGATTGCACCCTGATATCCCAGCTGCCTGCAAACGACATTCCCTTCCTTCATGTCCCAATAATCGTCGCAGACTGTGCCCCACAAATTATTGTGAAATATTTCCACACGACCCATGTTRCTAAAGGACGATCCCATAAGTCGAACATCGCCAGGGGAAACGCTATCTAAATGTGGAAAAATATCGTTAACGCTGTTAATGAGAAAGGACSTGCAAAGTAATTAGCACGGAACAAACTGACATATAGTGTTTTCATGTTTTACAATTTTGCCAAATTAACGCCGCGATTTTTTTAAACGCAAATATCTTTAGCCTCAGTCTCATGAGCATGAGAAGTCATTTCAAAGCCTCCAATATCGGACTGGACGGGATTTCAAGTCTAAGCAATTAGTTCCAGCAATTAGTTACAGTCCTCGGCTGCGCCTCGGACTGGAACTAATTGCTTAGACTTGAAATCCCGTCCAGTCCGATATTGGAGGCTTTACGTAACATTTTTTGAGGTTATGCATGGATGTTTTTCTAATTTATGACC